CAAGGAGGATCTTGGTATATGCCCCTAATTTTGGGAAAACCCCACATGGGAGCTGAGCTGCTGAGACCTTCAAATGAGGTCGCCCCAGGCAACTTCAGCGGCGTGGCCACGATGCCCACAACCGGCCGCCTGGAGTGTTTAGGGCTTAGGGTTTAGCGTTTACGGTTTACGGGTTAGGGATCATGTTTGAGTCGGAGGTTGTGGGGTCAAGGGAGTTTAAGGCCTATGTAGGGCCTAGGATTTGCGTTAAGAGGGTTTAGGATCTTGGGATATCTTGGGATTAGACCACCAAAGACAAACATAACAAAAATGATTTGGTCCGTGCGTTGAAGAAGACACTAGTCTGCGACGGCGCAATTGAAATAGCCATGGTCCATTTGAAATAACCATGGTCGTTCGCAGTGTGCAATACTCTGTTACTTGGTTGAAATAACTACACTGCCATGGCAGGGGAGCATGACTGTGAACATCGTCAATGTCTCTGCTGCCGAAACAATTCAGAAAGTGTTTTGAGATGCCGCCTCAGTGATGGGAACTTAGCATCAGTTAGATGTCACAGAGTTAGAGATCATGCCTGCTGATCTCTAATCAAGTTCTTCATACTCTGCCATGTTTCTGCACTTTGTGCAAAGGATTTAATTAAGGTTTAGGGCACAATTTTTCCGAGACCCCAAAACCTAAACCCTAAACCCCAAACCCTAAACCCTAAAGCCCCCTAACCGTAAACCATGCTCAAAAGCCGGTGCGCTCCCCAAGCTCGAGACCTCACCCCACCAGCTCACCATCTCCAAACCCTACCCACCCCAAGTCAAATATGTACCCCCTTAATAACCCCTATAATGGAGAATCAAATGGAAAAGAAAATGGAAAATGAAATGGAAACTGGGTTTATATGGGGGATTATATGGGCTATAGTCTAAACTCCTAGTATCCCCCTTAATAACCCCTATAGTAATCCCCCTATGTTAGCCCCTATATAACCCCCTTGAAGGAGTTTAGACTATGGCTCATATGGGGTTAGAGAGGTTCATAGGGGTTAGGCAGGGTTTCTATAAGGGTTATAAAGGGGTTTAGGGCTTTGGAATATTGATACCCAAATAGTGGAACCATGAAACGGACAAGCAAATTGAAAAATGACATGGAAACTGGGTTATACAGGAGTTTATAGGGATTAGGGTTTCCCAAAATTTGGGGGTACCCTTTTTGGGGGTCCCCTTCATAAGGCTTAGAGTATTTGAGGGTCTAACTTGGGGTCCTCCTAACTACCACATGCAAGTCAATTGAGCGTCTACACCCGGGACCCTGCAGCTCGAACTTCTACAATAGAAGCGGAAGCTGACGTGGTCCCCTTGCTGAAGGACGGGCATCTTTGTATGGGCCGCTTTTTCGGATAACGCGTTCATTTAGGGGATTGCAAGCCCCACACCTACAGCCCCAAATTATAATCCCAATGCCCCACAGCCCCACAAGCAACTTGCCTGCTTGTGGAATCCCCAAAAGCGCTGACGAAGAGCCTCAACTGCACCCACGACATCCTACTTGGGGGTGATTTGGGACATGACTGCACAGAGGTAGGATTACCGCAGATATGCTTGGATTTGATGTTCCTTCTAGCCGCAAGTAGAGGTCCTGTCCTACGCTCCACCAGATTGCTAACAGGAAGCTCGGTAGGACTATCCGATATAATATAACTAGAATATACCTGTAATATACTATAACACTATATAACTGTATCTTTCTGAACTGGGGTTGTATAGAGAAGGGCGGCGCTCCGAAGGATTCAGTGGAATCCTGGGCCAGGTCCTACCTGCACTTATGGAAGGGTGGGCTCATAAACCCCGCTATTCTTGAAGCTGCAGCAGACTTGAAAAGCCTTCCCTACTCTCAATTGCCATCTGTGCTTATGGTTCTGTACTATGGACGTCTCTTTCCGTCATTCGTCTTGGCCTTTTTGGTTACGCCTCCTCACTGGCAGTGCTGCGGCTCTTGTCTCTTGATGCTGCTGATGTTTGCTCTTCTTGGCTGTATTGTTCACCATCACGTTTCGGCTGCTGCCAGCAGTACACTTGCAAAAAGGCCCCTCTCATCGCCACTGTTTCCAGTGGCGTTTTTTAATAACCCCTCATTGCTACTCCTCCTTGTCAGTACCGTCGAGTTTCACCATTACTTGCTTGTGTTCACTGGTGCTAGTGTCCTCATCTGTTGGGCTGACTGCAGGGCTGCAATTTCAAGATTTAGGGCTTGCTGCTTCGGAGTTTTGATGTTGGCACGAAATTGTGTATAGTGCACCTTCGGACTGCAAGTTCAACGTCTACGGTTCTGTATGCTCGTAGGGTTCGAGATGCGCTGCTTGCTTCATCCAGGCTCGAGCATCTTGCAAGATGTCATAGAGGGTGCAGGATGCAGTGTTGGGCACTTATAGACCGGCATCACGAGGGAATCCAATGCCCTTGCCAACCATGGGCTTGTGCTTTTGTGCAGATACATGAAGGAACGCTTGCAAGGTTGGCCACATGTGTTCTCGAGCCGACGCCCTGTCTGGACTCATTGAATCACCAAATCTCTGGCTGTAGTTAAAATGCTGCTGTGACCTGCCAGCAACGACTGCATCACAAAGCGCTTTGATATAAAGGGGTATGCAAGGGATGACATTTTGACTGGCCCATTGCAGGCACGTCATTGGCTCATACTATTGGTAAGGATTCCTTCTCCCCACGTCTGAAACCCCACCCAAGCCCTCCCCCAACCATCCACCCCCAACCTGCAATTGCTGAAGCTAGGGATGGGACGGCAGAAGGAGCCCCCAGCGTACAGCCATTGCTTGGCAAGCCGCAGTGGCAAATGGAAAAAAAACTTTTCTTAGCAAGGGGTGCCACAGTGAGCAGTTGAAAGTAGCAGTCGAGTGTGAGGGAGATACTGAGTGAACCCCCCGGCGCAGTAGCAGAAAGGTGACGGTTGCAAGATCTTTGATAGATTAAGCCTTGGAAGGTCTTGGCAGCACTGGTGCTGACAGTGCTGAATCTAAGACCAATCTGACAACACATCTTCCACTGATAAACAAACTCTTGCACTCGAGCCAAGCAATTTCAGGCCAGGCAGAGTGAATCCATCGTCCAAACTCCTAGTATCGCCCTTAATAACCCAATAATACTCCCCTACATAATCCCGTATACAACTCTCTGCCAATCTGCCGAAAGCAGCTGGAGATCCGTCACGCAGGAAGGCTGAGCGAAGATAAATGCATCTTGCAACTGCCAGTAATAAAATGGAAGCTACTACACGACAATAGGGTATATATTGGGGTATATAGGGATGATGGAAAGTAGAATGAACCGTGCTACATTGTACTAGGGTATTTATTGGGGGTATGTCAGGGTTTCATAGGCATAATGGAAATCAAATGGAAACTACTACAGGGTAGCTGCAGCAGGTCAGCCCACCTGCCAGACATTGGGTAGACTTCATTGCATCACGCCGTCTAAAGGGCAGACCTAGCGTGAACAAGACTACTTTGACGGCTGCTGGAAGCAAGGGCTCCGACTTCGGTTCTTATTCTATACATTCCGCAGAAATGTTATCCTCGTCTTACCGCCGCTCCATCAAGCCGTAACTCTCGGAGAATCATCGGATGAGAGTTTCCCTCCTGCTCTGTTCAGGATGCCTTCGGCGATTCTTTCTCACGGCGAGCTGGCTTCCGTGCCGCAAAAGCACGTAAGGTGGTTGGCTAAAATTGACCAAAGCTTTCTGCAAGACAGGCGCGGCAGGCCACAGCATGGAAGGGAAATGAGAATCTACAAGCGGTAGAGCGCAAGGTCGATTCTCACAGTAAGGAGAAGGTTCTCAGTTTCATCCGGCTTGCTCATATGATCCTGAGCTTTGTGGCATTTTTGATCCAAATTCAAGAAACATCACAGACCTCACTGCGCACAGGGTATACGCAAAGGATAGCGCCACACTTGTTTGTATGTCTGCTAGACCTGCCGTCACCTGTCTTACCGAAGCACTCATGGCTGCGACGCTCATGTGGCTATCCCCCAGATGACTACTGGGGAAGCCGTCTCAAGCTGTGCTCGAGATGCGGACGTGAGAACGAATTTGGGTATTTGCCACAACTTTGGGCTGATCTTTGCATTGTTGCGTTTCTAATCCTTTGGATCCTGCTGTCTTGGTGAACCCGAAGACACGAATTGCAGCACACACCCAGGTGGATCGATAAGGGGCAAGGGGGCATCCACTCATCTTCCCGCACACCCTTGCCCCTGATCTGTCCATGTTTAGTTCTCTGAACAATGCCAAAGAGTTCATCCTAGCTGTACGGAGCGCAATGCACGAGTTGTGCCGAGGGCACGGACTATACACTTCGGCATGCATGTCGTAGGTGCTCCCCATTGAGATGCTGGCTGACTCCACCAGTGAGGGAAAAATTGCAAGAGAGACTACCGTGGGCTCATATCAATCCCCTAGGCCTGTGAGCACCAACGTCGGGCACGCCTTTAAACAGCATGCCTCGTCCATTGTGGCTTTCTTTTTTGTTCCCGGAGCTGGGGCTGGCGACAGCGCAGTTGGGCTTGTTTCCTGCTCTGGCAACCCTTTTCTGATGCCCATCTTCTTGAGGGAGAAAGAGAGAGAGTTTGTAAGGTCCCTTTACACCTACCTAAGATGAGTCTCTGGCTCATGTAGACTTTGTCAAGGAGCTTCGCACAGATGACAGCCTTGTGCCTCTCTTCCACAAAACGCCAAAAGCAGGCCTAGATTGACTACTGTCCTTCAAGAGGTTAAGATAAACAGGTTTCTATACCCCTCAGTACTCAGCCTGAAGTCCAGCATAGAAACTTAAGTGTTAAACTTGTTCTACGACCTAGACCTAATTAACCTCAAGTCCTTAAATGACCAAACAAACCCTAAACCCTAAAGCCCTAAACCCCAATAGTCCCCACACTGCCCAGCTCTGGCTGCAATTCAATTTCGGCCTGCGCTGAGTTGCTTCGAAGTTCGCGCAGTCAGTGCCTGTCATGAGGTTATGTAGTCGTTATACAATAGGAGGTATATGGGGGTATAGGGCTATTGGGATTATAAAGGGCTATATAGAGGTTAGTAGCCCATTTATGGAGAAATCCAAGGATTTTACAGGGCGTGTATATATGAATATTAGATTGGGATATTGGGATTATATGGGCTCATATAACAGAGGGTGGGATTCATACGGGATATATGTGATGCCTGGCACAGCATGCAAGACCCCTGAAAGCAGCACGCTGCGGCCCAACAACCTCGGAGGGAACAGCTCCACAGCTTATAGGGGTAATATAGGGGTTTATTCGGATTGAATGGTTAAATCCTGCGCTCAACATCCCAAGCCTGCTGCGGAGTCTCAATTCCTGGATTCAACAGATCGAGCTACAAGACTTTCTACACCCACTCGGTCCTGTGACTGTCAACCTACAGCTCAATCTCAATGGGAAGGGCTACTCATCCTCAAAGTGATCAGCATGTTCATCCTGCAATGATTGTCTGCATGCCGACCCTTACATTCCGCCAAAGCTTGCTCATCCTCACGGAAATTCTTGAAAGTGTCACGAAACAGTGGATGTGGCACATTAGAAGGCTCACAAGAGGAAAGTACTCCTGAACCTCATTTGCGTACTTCTGAAACAAGAGCTATTGACCCTAAACATAATTCTGAAGAGAAGCCATGCATTGAAACATGCCAGGCCTTAAATGCCGAAGCCGAACCCCTAAACCCTGGCAGCTGTAAAGCCTACAGACGTCTTCACAATATAATCCGTACTACAGGTACACCTACGAAGGAACCCCATTTTCTGGGAACCCTATGTTTCCCTAGACATCCAGTACCTACGACACCTAAGGGATCCATTTTCTCCATATTTCCCAGGGAACCCCGAGAATTTAGTAGGAATCTAGTAGCAATATACCTGCCAGTGTCCGCATATTCCTGCTTTGTTGGTCCTATATTTGGTGGGTTCCCTGTCTTGGATGCCCGATAGAATTCTTTTACATGGTTGTTTCCCAAAATAAGGGAACCAAATATAGACCCCAAGAACTATAATCCTTACTATTGGGACCCCCAAAAAGTACACCTAATTTTGGGAAACCCTGATCCGTATAAACTCCTGCATAACGAAGTGTTGATTTCATGTTCCGTTCTCTTTTCCATTTAATTCTGCATAATTGGGAGCAATAATATCCCTAAACCCTAAACCCTAATCCCTAAACGCCTCTGTACAACCCCATTACAGCATTTTCCATGTTATTTTCCATTATCCCCATACAACCACTATAAACCCTATAGAACCCGACATTCCAAGCGAGCACGGAGGTACTTACCCGAGGCATGGAACTTCGTGTCGCAGCGAGGGGGCTGCGCAGGGGGTAAATCTGGGAACCATGGTGGATACTTGAAGTCCACCTTTTACCTTGGGAATTATGGTGCTATAGTATACGAAGGTCATGCAGGATTTCTAATATCAACAGTATGGCAGGATCCATGAGGGTGTATAATGATATCCGGGACACATATGTATATCTATATACATACATATACGCATCTATGCGTATATGTGCAGTTATGTAGGAATATTTCGGGGTATATAGGGGGATATCCGGGAAACATATGGACCAGAAGACGGAAGATGAAATGGACACTGAGATTTTATCGTAGTTCAAGGTTGTAGGGATCGAATCCTCAAACTGTGGTTTCCTTTTGAATTTGGGCCTCCAACTTTTTATATCAAGGGTAACCAAACAAGAACCACAATTTTGACCACCTACCCCACACAAATGTGTATATATATATATAATCTTCACACAGATACACACCTAAACCCTATGTACCTACCTACCTATGCATGCATATACTGTATATGTGTATATACATAGCCGAGATAGTTGGGTTAGGGACTCAAACTCCTATATATCCCAGTTTCCACATGTTCTTTTCCGTTTGATTCGCCATAATTGGGGGGTAATATCCCTCTATTATAGTAGTCTCCATGTTCTGTTCCATTATCCCTATATAACCCCTAGAAAACCCCTATATACCCCCTATAATATAATCCCTAGACCCTAAACCCATTCAAGTTTTCAGGACTTGGAAATTCGAGGTGTCAGGCCTGCAGGATCTCTTTTGATAGGCGGACCCTTAGCATATACCCTTGACTACTATAGTGGTCGTTAGGCACTCCCAACAGAAACCCCTGATTTTTGGAAACGCGCTTCTGGCTTTGTGTGTTTAGGCGCTTCAGGTTATGTATTTCATTTGGGCGTTCTACGTTGGAAGTGGTTGGGGACTCTGGGTTCCGGGGCTTCAGGAACCCAAGTACAAGGACCTGTGTTATACTGACGTCGGGCAATCTCCACGTTGCTTACTTGCAGGGTCAGGAGACTCATTAGTAAGTAGGTTAATAACGGGGATAAGTAGGGCTACCATATGGGGGTTATCAACCTACTTACTCAGTCCCCCCTGACCGTCAATCCTACACCCTACATAATATAGTAGTTTCCATTGCCTTTTCCATTATTATTAAGCCCCCCTGACCCTCCAAGTAGTCGAGGTAGCAGTCTACGTAGCATCGACTTCTGAGCTCCCATTTCCTTCCCAGACCCTTCAGATGTTTCCATTTTCTTGTCCGTTATCCCAAAATAACCCCAATATACCCTATACTACCCCTATATAACCCTACATCGTAGTTTCCATTTCATTTTCCATTATCCCTATATAAGCTCCAATTTCCTGCCCAGACTCTTCAGAAGCACCTTCTGCGATCCGATGTTGTTTTGGTGAGCCCTACACGTATGCATGATGCAGCAAACTTCGGTCCAAACACAGAGCAGACAAAGGCAACCTGCGGATTTTCAGACTTCCGGTCTAAGGGCTTCGTAGACAGGCTCCAAACAAAACGGCTCTGAGAAGCATCAACGCAGCTCACAATCACTGGCGGCGCCTCGAATAATGTAGATTAATTGACGAGAGTCTTGACCTGAAAACCTGCAGGCTCAGGTATAGGAGTCTCAACAGCAGCTGTGCCACAATGCCTTTTCACGAAATCAACTCCGCTCGTCTCGGGGTCTCTCACAGCTCCTGGTGCCTCTCATCTGTGTAGCCTTGGAGAGGGGAGTGGTGCTAGATGGGTTCTAGGAGTGCATGTTGAGATACTGTACGGCTTCTCAAGCTCGGGGCGTATGAGCACGACGAAGAACAGGATGGGATGATGTGGCTTGAGCATTGATCGCTTGAACAGGGTCCGGCTGTGGTAGTTGCGAGGTGTGTCAAATACTAGCATCTTCATGTGCAGCGCATATCGCGTTGTAAGAATTCCTCAAGGGAAGCTGTTATTGCTATAGGCAAGGAGCAAATACTGGCTATGATAACGACTTGCCTACACTTCAATGTGAGTCGCAATGCTGAGTCGGCAGGGATCTGTTGTAGAAGCAGACTTGCAGCGACCCGGCAACCCTTTGGATCACTTGAGCGTTTGGAGGAGCATGGCTTGCATTGTGGCATCCCTTCAATTTGCGTTACGCCCAGCTTCAGGTAGAATCACTGCAGTGCACTACACAATCTATGTAGTCAAGGGTCCGTACGGAAAGGGCTGAAACCAAAGCGTCGTACGGCAGCACCCCCCCCAAGTTAGGCCCATTATGTCCACAAGCCTGCAAAATCTTTTAAAACTTGGCCTTAAACCCCAAACCACGGCTTGCCATCCGTGTGGCCCTTGTTGCCACCGGCCAGGGAGTACTCGTTGCGCGAGTCCCAGGACTCACCTAGGGCTAAAACTGAGTTCGCACAGGCACCCCAAACACTTCACAGAGTATAGATGTTAGGGTTACGGGTATTGTACGCGGGTTACAGGGGTTCCTGTGTCGTTTTAAAGAGCTTGCACTTGATAATGGGCCGATGCTTCAAAGGAAGATCCCCGGCCTGTTTTCCTGTCAACCAAGGTCTAGTTCCCCATGATCAGGATCCAAGTGTGTTGCTAGGGGGACCCGGTGACCCCACTTGTTTTGATGTTTTGCAACACTGACATGATCCGGCTCATATAGCAACCAAACAAAGCGAGATTATACAACACCTAGAACCGTTGGGGAAGGATTAGTATTGAAGATTACTTCATTTATGCCGCCTGACGACTCAGAATGTGGTGGGCGTGAAAGGGATAATGTTCTCAAACCATCTCAAGTAGCTCTATCACAAGGCAGCTATACGATTGGAGAGAAATCGCATGGAGCTCACACATGGTTTTGTTCCTCTTGTCTCCCTTCACTTGAAAGGGGTTCTCGTGTTCCAGTTGCTTTCATTCTGTGGTGTTGCCAATGTTTCTGAAGATCCCGAGCACCCACTCAAGCCTAAACCCCACCGAGTGGCCATCGCGAAGCTTTCTCTCCGGCCCTCTGTGCCCCTCCATGTAGCAGCTTAGGTCCTCGGAGATGGCGAAGGGAACGAAGGAGCTGTTTTGGGTCTTGGTTCATAGGGACGTAGTACTAGAACCACCGCAGGTAAGCTGGAAAACAAGTCATCTTCAAGCTGCATGACAAAAATCCTCTTCCTAAGGTTCAGGGCCCGCCAGTAATTGGGCGGACCACTTGTGTATGGATATGTTACTGGCGTGCTGGAGGTATTGTCGCTGAAACGTGAACTCTAATGAGCATGCCAAAGTTCCCAAATGCTTTGCCCATTGCATGAATCAAATTCAAAAATCTCGGGGCCAGTTGACTGCATCTGAAGCAAGTGTTCCCGTATTTCTTTCCCTTTCAACCAGGAAGGCTCCTTTGCCAGCTGCGCGATGGTGATGCTGTTGAACACCTTCCAAAGCAATCATGTGGCACCATCGAAAGCAAATGCAGGTAGTGGCCAAAATTACAATCCCAGCAGGAAGATAATTAGTATTGAAACTCCTCACCCTCAATCTTCGTCTCTATTATCACACTCGCCCAGAACCCAGCTTTCCTGGCCCACAAGCACTTTGTCTGAAAATGAGTATTGCATTTCCAGTGTCCTGCCCCTGTAACAACTATTATGTAAGCTACTACAAGTAATTGCCTCGCCCTCAGGGTAAACGTGCCCGTTTCTTCCCCGTGATCTTCAATATTCCACACCGCGTCACCATCTACATCGTTGACCTGCCTTAAGGTTCATTACTCGAAGAGGATGAAGGCAGTTGTTAATGTTAGGGCGCAGGGGCTGCCATCCTAAACCCCAAGCAAGCCAAACTGGATCCCCAACATCAACCCATAAGCGACTTCGACGGGAACCCCAACAAGGCCCTGCTAAACATAGGCCACCCTGGGCTACAGTCAATGTTTCCACCACAACCTACTGGACATGGGTTCCATGTCAGGGACTGTATCAGATATTATACTAAACTACAAGGTGACCCCTATGTCCTTAAGTCTCTTAATTCAGCCTAATATGAACAGTAGGTCATATAATTCTGTAACCACTACAGTGTAGTCCCAGTTTCCATTTCACATGTTCTTTTCCATTTGGGTCTCCATTATTGGGGGTGAACATCCCTGTATAACCCATATTGACCGTAATTCAGGGTCCAAGCCCCGAAACCTAAACCCTACATAACTCCCTCCGAGAGTTTAGACTATACGTCACATGGATTTCCGTAGTTTCCCTAAATAGTGGAACCCCTGTATAGACCCCAATATACTATATTCCTTATTACAGTACCCCCCCAAGAAAAGGTATCCTAATTTTTGGAAGCCCTAATGCCTATAAACTCCTATGTAACCCAGTTTCCGTTTCATTTACTATCTTCTTTTCCATTTGATTCTACATCATTGGGTACTAATATCCCTAAGCCCCAAACCTTAAACCCTAAACCAGAATCCCCAAGCCCCAAACCTTAAACCCTAAATATCAGTTTGGGGTAGGGAGCGCTCATGGCCTTCTCCGCCCAGGTCCCTTCTAGCCTCTCTTGCCTCAGCTAGATAGGGTTTATAGGAGTCATATAGATTTAGGGTTTAGGGTTTAGGGCTACATAGGGATGGTGGAAGAGAAAATGGAAACTGCTACTTAGGGTTCAAGGTTTAGGGTTTCCCACAAATTAGGGTTACCTTTTTGGAGGTTTATAGGGGGGATCTATAGCAGTATATAGGGTTCAGGGTTTAGGCTTTCCCCAAACAAGAGGGATACCTTTGGGGGGATATATAATGTTTTGTAGGGGTTACACAGGATTTAGAGTTTCCCAAAATTAGGGGTACCCTTAAGAGGGTAATGGGGGTTATATAGGGGTTATACGCGGTTTAGGGCTTAGGGATATCTCCCTTATTAGGGTCCCCTTATTTATGGAAACCACCATATGGCACACACAGCTGGATTTTCTGAAGGCATCAAACCTAAACTGTAAGCTC